GATCACAGGAACTTTGATAGTGTAAACCATCCTTTATAACACTCAGTTAGTTTCCTCAAACATTTCTTACAAATCCTTCAAAACTTAGAATTTACCTATGCAAAATTCCTACTGTGATCACAGAAACTTTCAGATAGTGTAAACCATCCTTTATAACACTCAGTAAGTTCCCTCAAACATTTCTTACAAATCATTCAAAACTTAGAATTTACCCATGCAAAATTCCTACTGTGATCACAGAAACTTTCAGTGATAACTGGACATGTCCGTTAAAAATGGGCAGAAGTTAACTGAGAATGTCTATTATAAAAGGTGATTAATTATGAGAATTTAAAATTCTAGGAAATGGAGTTGTCACTCTCAGATGAGGAGTCTGACACAGAAACTGGGAGAAAGGTTTCGAAAAAAGGAAGATCGTTCAAGAAAAGTTTTCGCAAGTAAATGTTAGTATAAACTATTTTTCTTTTTATGCCATGCACCATTGTGAAAGTTTGTGTTCCATGTATATAGCATCGCACAGCACTCGCACGAAGCTAACGCTATGATCTATAATTTAAAAATTTTGTAAAGATAAATCATTAGGAAATTAGTTATATATGATATAAATAATTAAATTTAATAATTATATTAATATATAAAGTGTATACAGTATCGAAGTAATCTGTACTAAAATAACAAAATGCCAAGCGCTGTTGTTATATAACTTTCAGAATCGTAAAATTAAACTTTAATGCAGAATAGTACGAATGATTAAATCTAATGCAATATTAAATATTAATAATATAACTCATATATGAATCTAAATTTTGTTAACAGTAGTTTACTATTAAATATCTTTTTCCCGTGCGATAACGTTCCATCAGTTGACAAGTAAAATAGTCTGGAATCAGTTTAAAAGGCAGCATCAGATTTTAGATGTTACAGTATAATGATTATACAAATTGCTGAAGTGAATCAGGCCCCTTTTGTACCACAACCCAAGCCATCAGCCACCTGCAGCGAAACGCGCTTAAACGCTGCTGCAACGAAGCTATAACGATGAGATTCAAAGATTCTGAGACAAACAAATATTCTAGAAATGTCGAGGTTTATGGTAACTTCATGGGGGCAGAAAAAGCTGATATTCCGACATGATGCTTTGCATCTAATTAGAAGATTTTTTAGGCATTCTGGTTGGATGTATATGTATCTAATGAGAAGGAAGTCAAATAAAAAGTAGCCTGAATGATTAAGAACGCCGAAGCCAAAAGATGCATAATTTTCTCCTGTAATTTAATGTGTATAGGCATAATTTGCTTATGGAATACATTGCATTGTCTCACATACTTGACAAGTAAAAATAACTTAATATAAGACTTTTTTGTTCAATTTAGAGAATCTTTAAATCTATAGCCACTAGGTCTACAACCATAATAGGCAAACTCTTTGTTAGTTTCCAAAATTGCTCCAATGCAATTGTTTATTTAACCAGATAATTATGACACTCCTTAATTCAGCCTTTTGATCGTTGGTGCAATTGTCCATGACGATAATACATAACTGACAATTGTCGAGCTATATTCGTTGAAAAAATATACCGAGCAAGTAGAGAAGAGATACTGAATAAAAAAAGTAAAATCAGCAACTCAAATCATATTTTTACCAATATTAATTATTCCTTCACTGCATGCAGTATTAGGGCGTAGCAAAATTATTTGCTACATTATATATTAACATATATTATCACGTTGTAAGCACTATGCCATTATCGTGCAATATAGCTTAGGAAACATAACCATCTAATGTGAAAACATTAAATAAGTACAACGTACTGCATTATTAAACTAGAATGTAGATCATGCCTAGACATGGATCGCTTAATCGCGTGACTTGTAATTAAAAGTGAGCAAATTCTTTTGATTTACATTTCAATCACCCCTTTAGGTGGGCTAACTTCGATTGTGATAGCGTTTAATTATTCTTTTAAAATATACATAATTCGCCACATACAGAGAAGATACGGAACTTTAAAAGACAATTTCATAACGTAAACATCAAATGAACAAAATTGAAGTCATGGCGTCCATACATATTTTCGTTGGTGCATCGATACTTCTCGTGGCAGTTTGTAAAAGAAGTGTATCCTCGGAGATATCCAGCTTAACGATCGAACCAAGATCGCCTATTTGTCTAAAAAAAGGAGAAAACATTCCAATTACAATTATGTTACATTCTAATTTATCCAGCGTCAATTTTACGAGAACCTTCTCAAACCTCTCATTGCTATGGTACCGCAATGGAATACAGTTACCAAACGCTACCATTATCCACTATACCAATAACAGTATCGTTTCGAGGTTTGTAGCGAAGTACCCTGGTTTGTTTACCTGTGTTCTGATAGGCCCTACCGCTTCTCAGAACCTTGCAAATCGTTCTGTATCCGTAGGAATGCGCCCTAACCCTGTGGCTAATCTTGTTGCAACGCCCAAATTTATTAGCGATGAGGACACGTTTCGGTACGTTGTGGTCTCATGGTTGAGACAAAGTATTGAATATGTGTATAGGGTGTTCTTTAAAATAGATTTGCTTGGTTGTTTTTCCTTCCCTTGCGTGGAAGACAACATTGAGCCTACGTGTATTGCGACAAAATGCACAGCACGTATTGATACAGAGGGTCATGATTTGAGTGACCTCGCGTTTTATATTGTGACTCGACAAGGAGCGTGTGAATCCAGAAGCAGAGTCTGGAATTTTAACCTAACACTATCTTCATGTGACGTTTTACCACCTAAAACATTATTCTACGTCCCTTATCCGCCAACTAAGCTAACAATAGAGACTTCATACCGCAGTGTCATCTTGAGATGGCAAGATATCGTATCTTGGTCACTACCGTCCGTATCGCTGACCTACACCTGCTCAAAAAGCTCGTATACAATCAAATCCAAAAAAGTAGACATACGAGTTATTTTCCTATCGGATAAACATATCCGGGGTTACGCACCCTACGGGAAATGTACCTTCTGCTTGTCGATACAAGAATACCATTGTGGGCAGTTTTCCGAAAAATTGTGTAAAACTACGAGACTTCGCGAAGAACCGCCGAGCGAAGCTCCGAATATTACGTGCACTACCGACACTTGTCCGACCAGCTACGATGACCAGTTTCGGAACCTCACAGTCACGTGGGAATTGCCGGCGGAGAAGTACTGGGGAGGAGTTTTACGAGAAATCAAATTGCGTTACACGGCGGCAGAATCAAATTCTACATGGCAGGAGATTGTCCTGACTAATTTGAGCTCAAAAAGTGTTGCCATCATTGGCCTGAATAAAACATTACATTATAGTGTTTATTTACAAGCATGTAACACAGAGGGATGTAGTGGTAATAGCAAACAGCTTCAAATATATGGTATTAGAGCTAGACCATTATATTCGATATATAGCAGTAGTAATTATAATACTGTTTGGTATTCTATTGGTGGTGCGATGGGTTTTATTATTGTGATGGTAGTTTGTATAATTATGATTCCAAAGTTATTCTTTAAGCAACGCACAGAGTTAGAGCCGCTTTCTGAAACTGACATTCCTAACTATGATGAAGCTGATGATAAGATAGTGTACGATCACATTGATGACGAACAATGCGAGCAATTGTATGACGAGGGTGATCCCCGTGGCGACGAGACTCCGCCTGTAAATGGACAGAGTTAGTAGCGCGGACACGTGGAATATGTATATAGTAGTAATAGACTTTGCAACCGAGGGGCAAATCACCGACTTAAATCACGTACATCCGCAGAAAAATCACAAAAAAATCAAAAATAAAAAAAATCACAAAAATAAAAAAATCAAGTTCCGAGGTTAGTTCTACTTTACCCCTTCGTTTGTTCTGTCAAAAGTGGTAGCTAAAAGAGAAAATTACCATGGCAAAAAGTGCTAAAAGAGCAAAGAGTCAGAGAAAAACACACAAAAAAAACAAAAATTTGAAGAAATAAGTACTATTTGAAAAAAATTATAAAAGAGATGGGGGAAAAAGGTTTTGAAAAAATTTTAAAAATCCATGAAAAATCACAAAAAAAAATCGCAAGGTCTTTTGATGTCGTACACTTTTTAGGAGTGATTTGCCCCTCGCTTTGCACAACACTTAATCAATAATGCCCTCTAGTCCCATTTGTACATTATTTATTAGTTCATTTTTTAGATAATATAGTTTTCAATCAGGGTTTGGTTGTACGAAAGCCAGACAACGCTATTCACTGCAAAGCGATTTTTTTATTTTTTTGAAAATTGCTTGAAGAGCTATAAGTGTTAACGTGCTAAACTTCACTCCCAGCCCTTGCCTCTTGCTATTCACTGGAGATCTTTGTCTCCAGTGAATAGCAAGAGGCCAAGGCCTGGGAACGAGCTTGCAACAATGTCTCCAGAAGAGGGGGGCAAGGGTATTTGCGTGACTCGTGATTAGCAATTATTCGTGTTTCGTGATTTAAAGAAATACCATTCCGTGAATCGTGATTAATATGCGCGCCGTGAATCGTGAAGAGCTAAAAGGCTAGCTAGGTTCTTGAATTTGCCAATATTTTACCCTAACTTGTGAATGTTTACGTTTAAAACTCGGCCCAAATTTAATATTATGTGGGGAAAATAAATAAATTTGCTTCCCGCGGTTGTCTTTCTTGAAGTTTCTTCGTTTCTTGAGGTTGCTTTGTGTCTCGTAATGTTTTGTAATGCCTCGCAATGATTTTCATAGTCGTTTAATAAACGGCTCTAATTCAGTAAAATGTGTTTGTGTTACAACGATTTCTGCTGTCTAGAAAATCGTTAAATGGTTTCAGACTTTGTTACGCTTCTGTGTTTCTAAAAATCGTGAAAATGAAATTTTGTTTTTCGTGACTCGTGAAATCGAAAAATAATCTTCGTGATTTCGTGACGAGACCCCCCCCCCCTCAGAATGTTCTGGAGACAAATGGAGACATTGTTGCAACCTCGTTCCCAGGCCCTTGCCTCTTGCTATTCACTGGAGAGTGATTTTTTCATCCTTTGGAAAAATACTTGAAAAGCTATAAAACGTACAAGTACAATCTCGTTCCCCGAGCCTGCGTTCCTCGGGAAGGAACGCGAGGCTCTGGGATAATCCGTTGCCGGAAGCCAGGAATCCTGGCTAAGACCGAACTGCGCATTCGATATCAACGGCCAATCAGATTCCTCCCTGAAACGGATTATCCCAGAGCCTCACGTTCCTTCCCGAGGATCGCAGGTTCGGTGAACGAGATTGGTACACGTACGTCTAGTGGAGATCCGCCTTTATCATTGTTGCAACCTCGTTCCCAGGCCCTTGATACCTCTTGTGGAGGAAAGACTCTGGCAGGAGCTGTTCACGTGATGTGTTAAAATCTAGCAGATTTTCAATTGATGATGATGATGATGTTGATAAATATTTGACATTTATAATTTTACTTTTAAAGCAATCCAAGATAGTCAATTAAAAATCTGCTAGATTTTAACAGGTCACGTGACCAGCTCCCACCAGGGTCTTTCCTCCACAAGAGGTAAGAGCCTGGAACGAGGTTGAGCCGAAGTTTGCAGTTTTCACAGAGAACAGCTGGGGGTTTTAGTTTAAATTCAATTTAATTGACACACTAGGAATATTTACAGTTTGTTTTTACGCTCAACGCCATATGGACTGTTTTAATTTCGTCGAATTGAAAATTCACCTTCTAGGTGAGGATGCATTTTCCGCGCAAAATTGCGAGGTTGATTGAGAGAAAGGTTGTATTGCTAGGTTTCACTAAGCACCATCGTGCAGCAGATGCTGGTCAACCTGCAGTTATCAGAGTGACAAAAAATTGAGTTTAATTATCATGCTCCTGTAGCTACATGCCGATTTACGCTACACAACTTTTGCCTAAAACTGTCGCATGCAACCTGCTTACAACTTGATCACCTGTGTAAATCAAGCACACAACTCACCCATGACAACGTAGGTGAGTTGTGTGCTTGATTTACACAGTACAACTCAAGTTGTAAGCAGGTTGCATGCGACAGTTTTAGGCAAAAGTTGTGTAGTGTCGTAGGTGAGTTGTGTGTTTGATTTACACAGTACAACTCAAGTTGTAAGCAGGTTGCATGCGACAGTTTTAGGCAAAAGTTGTGCAGTTTTGTAGGCGAGTTGTGTGTTTGATTTACACAGTATAACTCAAGTTGTAAGCAGGTTGCATGCGACAGTTTTAGGCAAAAGTTGTGTAGTGTCGTAGGTGAGTTGTGTGCTTGATTTACACAGTACAACTCAAGTTGTAAGCAGGTTGCATGCGACAGTTTTAGGCAAAAGTTGTGTAGTGTCGTAGGTGAGTTGTGTGTTTGATTTACACAGTACAACTCAAGTTGTAAGCAGGTTGCATGCGACAGTTTCAGGCAAAAATGGTGTAGTGTAAATCAGCCTTATCTAACCCTAACCTAACCCTGTGTCAACATTTCTAGTTGACCACCATCTGATGCCCTACGACGCTTATTGATTCTGAAACGCACCATTTCTGTAATCCTCGACAGTCCGACATATTATATTCTTTAGTAGTCGGTCATTTCAAAATGTTCTATATTAACAAGAATGTTCTATAATTGTAACAATGTCGGTCCTATTCATCCGAGGATTTGATTAGCTGATGACGTTCTTCTAATTGAGCTTCGATTTTAGCGATCGCTTCACGGAGGCTGTTGTATTTCTCGATGTCAAAACCATGGCGTTTTGCTTTCTTGTGGAATGAAATTAAGAATTGACGATTGCGTGCTTCTGGATACATGTACTCCTGCAATGAAAACAAGAATTAAGGTCGAGGTTTTGATCGTCTTCTTTGAACGAAATTGTACTGTACGATCCATGGCTAGGTCAAGCCGATACCAGGATTTCCCCAGTCTGGAACAAGTTGTTAATATCATCTTGTTACAAGGTTGATGACGGTAGCAGACTTGCTACAAGTTGTTCCAACAAGACCAATACAAGTTGCTAGTACGAGCTTGTTGTCATCAACTTGTTAACAACTTGTTACGTGCAGACGATATCACACTTGTTGGCACAACTTGTTGCGAGTCTGTCGGCCTCCTTAACCTTGTTACAAGATAATAACAACTTGTTCGAGGACAGACTTGTCAACAACTTGGAACAAGTAATCTTGTTGACAAGCTGCGAGACGTTTACGCATGTAAGACGAATGGTCGTCACGAAGCAAACGTTCAACGAATCGAAATGTATCATATACCAACGGTCTAACCTGTCTGGTCAACACGAAGTAAGCATAACACGCCATGCTGGTAGCATATGTAACAAAATACGTCACAGGTTCCATGATATCCCAGGAATATTCCCACCAAGTGAGGCGCGCAAGGAAACCAAATTGAACAGCCATGAAAGCCAGACCTCCCCAAACGAAAACGTTGCTTCGTGTTTCTGCCCCTTTTTCAAGCTGTTGTCTTTGTATTTCGAGCGGTTCTAGCTCTGTATGGATTTTTTCTAATTCTTCTAAAAGTTGCTCATCTGTTCCTGTCTGGTATTTGGAAAATACAAAATACCATGTCAGGCCACTTTAAACTAAATTTAATTCTAAACTATAAACTATTTATAAACTAAACTAAACTAAGTTTATTTATACTGGATATTTGGATAGCTCTATCAGTTCTAAACTGTTCTTCCTAGAGGTTCAGTAATGATCATCTCTTATTGATCCAGTGTTACTACAGGAGGAAACCTAAACTAAACTAACTTTATTTATACTGGATAGTTCTATCAGTTCTAAACTGTTCTTCCTAGAGATTCAGTAAGGATCATCTCTTATTGATCCAGTGTTACTGCAGGAGGAAACCTAAACTAAACTAACTTTATTTATACTGGATAGCTCTATCAGTTCTAAACTGTTCTTCCTAGAGGTTCAGTAAGGATCATCTCTTATTGATCCAGTGTTACTACAGGAGGAAATCTGAACTAAACCAACTTTATTTATACTGGATAGCTCTATCAGTTCCAAACTGTTCTCCCTAGAGGTTCAGTAAGGATCATCTCTTATTGATCCAGTGTTACTACAGCAGGAAGCCTAAACTAAACTAACTTTATTTTATTGGATAGTTCTATCAGTTCTAAACTGTTCTTCCTAGAGGTCCAGTAAGGATCATCCCTTGTTGATCCAGTGTTACTACAGGAGGAAACCTATTTTTTTTTGCAAACAAACCTTTGTATTTCCAACATCAAGACTAGCATACAACTTTTCAACAAGGTCTCGGACATTTTCTAACGAGTTCTCCTGTATTGCTACATTTACTACAAATGAATTAACCTTAATTTAGTTTAGTAATACACTGACACTGTACAATCCCAAAGCTTCTTTGGAAGGTGGTGCAGAGTTTAACCCAATTAATTTGCATTTCACTAAATGTGCTTATATATGATGTATGCTAATGGATACCTTCGCTTGATGGGTGTACAGTATGCAACTCATCATTAATTTTTAATTTAAATCCTTCTGTTAGCAAGACACTTAGCCTAGTCGTCTGTGCAACACGGTTGCCGTCCATGGAATGTATCAGAGCCTCCTTAATGCCATCATCTTCCTCCTTTATGCTCTCAATAAAACTCTTCACAGAATGGGCGTCGTACAGCGTGAACTCACACGTTTCATTGGTTGTAGGCAAGGGAATTGAAATGACAGGATGGCCACGTTTTAGTTCAACGTTCAAGTCAGCTGTAAAGTCAGGAAAAGGTTCCAGCTAAGATATGAAGGTAAGTTGGACATGGGGCCGGGCTTTGTAATTTAGATTGGCACATGACAGAACATCTGTTTTAGTGTAAATGCAAGACAAAATACTTAGATGAATTAGTCAGGATAGTTCAATCTATACTTAGCAATGATTCTGGCAACAAATCATGTTCGATTTTCCTGACAGTTTGTCTAATGGAGTATGTATACACATAGAGGGATCGCCCTCAAGCTGATCATCCATCGATGACTTCGACCTCGTTCCTAGGGTAAAATCAGGGAACAAGATTGTGATGACCTACACGGATTGCCCGTCCTGACAATCCATCTGTTTGTAGTGTTTACACACAGAAACATATAAAAAAAACTATCTGTTCTTTGCTCAAGCTCATTCAAACACATCCGGTATACTATAAGCGTCAAATGTATCAAATAGTTGCTAATTATGTCAAATATTGATGGACTGTCTTATCTTAAAATTCGTGCTATAAAAATTTAACTTTATGTACAAAAGGAACTGTACAGATTATACGAGCTCTAAAGAGAGAATGCATTTGAAAAATAGTTACCCAATCGACTTGTCGTTGTTGAAAAACAAGGTCGTCCAGCTATCAAACCGTTCTAGAACATAACAAAAATTCTTAAGTCGACAAGCCATGAAATATTAAAAATACGTTCTATCTTATATAAACTCACAGTGATCGCATATTTTAAAGGCTGTTTGAAAAGAATCCTTCGCATAAATACCGCAGCAAGCATCTTTCGAGTTGTGTATTTGCAAAAAAAAAGATTAAATTTCGCTATTTACTGTAAAGTTGTCTGATACCAAACACTTCAAACCACTCCAAACAAATGTGAGCTATTTATAGCATTTTTTGACGTAGGGGAGGGGGGCTGGAGAGAAAAGTTGAAATATAATTTTCGTGGTCGAATATCAGCAAAAACTATATAAAATACTAAGATAGGTAAGATATTATTTTTATTTCACGATTTATGTACTTTTTTATCACTAATGTTGTGAAGAAAAATGAATTAACATGGCATGTAAAAGTGAATTGTAATGACCCCTCCCCAAACATTTATGACATTAATTAACTTTAATATTCCATTCACTGTAAAACTTTCGCGATCACCTCGTAATTTGCCGGTATCAAAATTTGAATTGATTTCCTTTGCAAAAATCTTGCTTTTCTCCCCCATTTTCTTTCTAAATGTGTGTAAAGAAACTTAAAGCGTCGTACGTATAAATAAATTTATGTATGAAACACGCTTAAAAGATGATTTAAAAAATAATTGAAAAATCCTGAAAAAATCTTGAAGCTTTCGGAAAATGTCGATCTACTTCCGACAGATGCTATCGAGTTTTTCACGCGGTTCGAAAAATTTAAATGTCCACAAACAACAACATGGGCGAGATATGGATCTAAAGTTTTAGAACTGCGGCGAAATACAAAGCTTTTGTGGCATAAAATAGTGCTCAAAATGCTTCGTTTATTCGGTCGAAACTTCATATTCAACAGAAATAGCCGTGAACTGTTTACAAGAGTCCAAAATGTACGATTTCTTGCAGTTTCGTCAAGGCAATATTCGACTAATTTTGAAGAAGGCAGCTCAAATCAGTCAAATGCAAACGAATCGAGCAATCGCGACCCAGAGAAAGTGAAGCGAGCCAAGCTACTGGATGTTTTAATCATTTCGTCCATCGGGATTATTGGTTTTGGTTATTTAATTGTTAGGAGAACGTTTTCTGGGCAAGTTCACGCCAAGAGTGCTGAGGGTTTGGAACGAGGGAGTGGGGAAGGGTTAGATGCTTCAGCTGGCGAAGGTGGAGAGACTCAGATACAAAGGAAGAAGAGGAAGAGCTTCAAGGAAACAAGGGTAAGTTAAGGCAAGCTGGCTCCCCTTCTACTTTGGTGTCTGCATGATCGATGGCCACTTTCATCTCCTGCCTTAAGCCTGATCTTCATCAGTTGGCAACACTTAGCTTGCAGATGTTAATTCTGTTTAACTGCCCTTTCGCAATACATCACCGACCGTCTCAAGAAATAAAAAAAAATTGTTTTTTTGTGGCACTTGGCGATAATAAAACAAATGAAAACACTGTTCGCGACAGTCAACGATGTCCACTGATGAAAGCCAGCCTATAAAGACACCCTCTGACCTTTGAATAATCAGTATGCATGCACTCCAGCCGTCTCAGTGTAGATGCAAGACTCACTATCCAAACAAACTAACTAGAATAGCACAATTTATACTGGCAATGGTTCTGGGAATAAATCATGCCTGAGATTTTCCTGATCATATAATTACTTTAACCCATTGAGTGGCAGCACTCTTTCCTCAACAAGTAAAATTGTCTGGCAATAGACAGAGTGAAAGAATAAAATAGGGCACATCAGGGCACATTGCCACTTAAAGGGTTAATAGAATGTATGGGCAGATAGTTTGGTTAACCCATTGAGTTACAGCACTCTCCCATTGATGAGTAAAATCATCTTGTGTTAGACAGAGTAAAACAATAAAGTAGGATGTATTAGGCAGGGCTCGAAACTTGCGGTATCCCGATATCCACAGGATATCAGATTTTAATTTTGGATACTGGGTATCATAAGCTCAGTATCCCAACTGGATACTAGGAAAACTTAGAAATTGCGATAGTAGATAATCATCTAGACGTTTGGCATGTTTCCGAACTTCAATGTCAACGGATTTTGGCAGAATATATAAAAAATTTCACAAACGGTGCTTTCTTTCGTATCGCTGCAGTGTGTTATTTTCAATTTTTTCGAATTTCAATACATATTTTTATTATTGAAACTGAAGGCCTGGTTGCAAGGTAAAATTTTGCCTTGCTTAGATACTGGAAATAGAATATCTAGTATCCAAATCTGGGTTACTATATTTCAAGGATGGATACTAGATTCTATGATGCTGGTATCCACTTGGATACTGACAAAAATTTCAAGTTTCGAGCCCTGATTAGGACACATTGCCACTTAAAGGGTTAAATTATTTACTATAAACTTAAATTCTGACTTGTTTCGCAGATCATTGGGTATGAAGACAGAATTCGAGCATACAGTACGCCAGATAAAATATTCCGTTACTTTGCAACAATCCAAACTGGCCACTTGGGGACTGGAGAGACTGAGATATTTATGACGCCGCGAGATTTTGTTCGATCTCTTACGCCTGGAATACTTCAGCCTGAAGGTAAACATCTGAACACCTTGCTAAAATAACTGAACATCCCCCCTGGATGGAAATCTGAACAAACCCTAAAAACAAATTCCATGCTCCCCCCTGGGAAATGTGAATGAACCCCCGGAACCAATCCCTGAACATCGGCACTTGCCTATTTTTAACCACCCCCACAAAAAAATATTCTTCAACCTGACCAATTAAAACTTTTTTTTCGCAGTCGCAACTTATCTGTCGTCTTCTTGTCTGTCTGTTTTGTAGCACATATTTGCCTGAATTGTTGAAACTTAAATGTCCTCCTTATCTGTTGTAGGTCTTGGTCTTGACAGATTCAAACATTTGGACAAAGAAGTGAGTAAATTACTGTAACTGTTAGTAAGGCTAGCTAAAGAGCTTATCTTAAATCTAAATTTGCTCATGTTAATTAACTTGAAGCAAGTCTAAATTGCAGTTTCCATTCAATTCTTGCATTCCAGAAAGATGTGTATAAAGGCTACACACACGATGATGGTACACCTGGGGAAAGCGTCTTACAACATCTTGGAAATAATGGCTTGATCAATTTCACAGATTATTTATTTCTACTCACTGTACTTGGAAGTAAGTATTGAATTTAGGATTGTGGGCACCCACATTCCATAGAACTGATTGTAGAAGAGTTTTGTGGTTTTGAGTGTAAGTCATGCTTGTCAGATGTTGGGATCCTAAGAAGTGATCTTCCTGCAAGTGCCTGAAGCGAACTGTAGTCCTTGGTCAGATTAGGTCTTATGCATGCATAAGTAAGGTAACAAATTTCAAGAATTCTCTTTTCAATGATGCCAAAACTCCAGTTTCAAATGCCAAATCTCAATTTTCAAATGCCAGAAATCCGTTTTCAAATGCCAGAACTCCGTTTTCAAATGCCAAAACTCCCTTTTCAAATGCCAAAACTCCCTTTTGAAAAGCCAGAACTACCTTTTCAGATGCCAAAACAACGTTTTCAAATGTCAGAACTCCGTTTTCAAATGCCAGAACTCTGTTTTCAAATGCCAGAACTCCCTTTTCAAAAGCCAGAACTCCCTTTTCAAATACCAAAACTTCGTTTTCAAAAGCCAGAACTCCCTTTTCAAATGCCAGAACCCCCTTTTCAAATGCCAAAACTCCGTTTTCAAATGCCAGAACTCCGTTTTCAAAAGCCAGAACTCAGTTTTCAAAAGTCAGAACTCAGTTTTCAAAAGCCAAAACTCAGTTTTCAAATGCCAAAACTCAGTTTTCAAATGCCAAAACTCAATCATTTCAAATGGCAGAACTCTCTTTTCAAATGGCAGAACTCCGTTTTCAAATGCCAGAACTCCGTTTTCAAAAGCCAGAACTCCGTTTTTAAATGCCAAAACTTCGTTTTCAAATGCCAAAACTCAGTTTTCAAATCAGGAGGCAGTTGCCGCCCCCACCCTACCAAAATTTCTACCTCTCAGTAGATGATGCTTCATATCAAGGGGAAAGTGCCAGGTATTATTGGCCCTATTGGGTTTATACAGTATCAGAACATCTTATTAATCATGAAGCTGTAATGTGCTTTAATTACTTGTTTTTACAGCTCCTCCGCGACATATTTCCATTGCTTTCAAAATGTTTGATTTGAATGGAGATGGCGACGTATCTGCGGATGAATTTGATAAGGTTCGATCATTTGTACACTATGATTTTTAACCCTTTAAGAATTGACTTGCACCCTACTTTATAATAATTTTACTCAGTGTAACACCAGACAATTTTACTTGTTATTAAGCAGAGAGCGCTGGCATCAAGGGGTTTGGTGCCAAGTGGTATAACTTACATTTACGGAAATTAAGTTTTCATCAAGTGATTCAAAAATGCTTTTGACTCAAACTTGCAATTTTGTTGTAAATATCTTTTCTTTTTGTCATTAAATATGTTTATATCAAGAACATTTAACCACAAAACAATAAACAAATTCATTTCTGTGCTTCATCCAGATGCAGTCAGTGTTACTGTCCCTCACGTCGACTGGAATGAGACATCGTGATAGAAAAACCACGGGCAATGTCATGGGATCACAGGTGAACACAGGGTTAAAGGAGTACTTCTTTGGACCTCAGTGTACACAAAAACTGACTGCACAACGCTTCATTGAATTCCAACAGAAATTACAGAAAGAAGTTCTCTTCCTTGAAGTGAGTTGTGGTCCTTTTAAAAATATCTTGTTGATCTCGATAAAACCTCCTTCACTACTGAAAATTTTTCTTTATATCCTAGAGTTACTCCCTTATAGCGGTATAGCCACAAACCATGGCTATAAAATATGCTGCAAACAAGCGTACTTTATAGCCACAAACCGAGATTGTAAGCAGGCTTTTAGCCAGAAGGGCGTCCAGGCATCCTGGGACGGCCATAGAACGAAAAGTGGACGCCTTTATCACGCCCAAATTCTGGGGGAAAAGGGAAATTATTTTCAATGATTTCCCTAAGTATATTAATATATCTGAAACGAAATAGCTTCAATTCTCATTATTATTATATATTTGACATTTTGATCAATTTGATGGTGTACCTGGCTGAATGAAAATGTCGTAGTTAAGTAAAGAAGCATAGCGGCACAAACTCACAGAGCCAAGTGTGTTTGAAAAATTTCTAGCGAGCTTGGAACAGATACTGATATGAAGTAACGTAAACTTCAAAATTTTCAAGAGGAACGTTTTCTCCAACCATCCCCCCCCCCCCCTCTTTACTGTAGATGTATCGTTATACCAAATTTGGACGCCCTCTTTTAGGACCCTGGCTAAAAGGTTGGCTACAAGGTTTTCCGGAAACAGACGTACTTTATATAGCCACAAACTAAGGCAGTATAATTAGTAGGACCCCGAACGGATCCTCAGTATGTTCCATCAATTATAGTTCCCATTGCTTTTGTCGTTTCCTTGCATTTTATAATGCAATGTTTTTACGAAGTTTCTAACGTTGAGAAATTCCGTTATATCTTAGTTTCAGTTCTACGAACCTGTGGACGGCAAGATCACGGAGGTCGAGTTCGCTGACATGTTGTTGACGTACTCAAGTTTTACCAGCAAGAAAAAGGAACGTACTTTGAAAAGGATTAAGAAAACGTTCAGAGAGAATTCACAGGTAGATGATTGAACTGAACGGTGTAGCATAGTGCTCAGTGCGTGTGTCTTTCATCTCTGTCTGTGAGGTTTGATTCCTGCAATATACAGTTGTCTGATTATAATTCCACCTCAGTCACGTGTAAAAAGAGTGCTTCCGTGGTTTAACTCCGAAAGTTTTTTCACCGTTCCTTCCTGTAGTAACACTTGATGAATATTAAACACAAGAACTCCCTTTCAAATGGCAGAACTTGGTTTTCAAATGCCAGAAGTACCATTTCAAATGCCAGAACTCCGTTTTCAAACGCCAGAAGCCCAGAACTCCCTTTACAAATGCCAAAACTTGGTTTTCAAACGCCAGAATTCTGTTTTGAAAGTGAATAAGGAATGACCTTCACTGAACCTCTGGGGAGAAGAGTTTTTAGAACTGACAACAGTTTGAAGTTGCATTGCACCGTAATGTGCCCTATTTTATTATTTTACTGTCTCACGCCAGATGATTTTAAGAGAAGAGCGCTAGCATTCAATGGGTTAAAACTGCTGGAGCTATCCAATATAAATTAAGGTTGATTTTTTGTCTGTGTTGGTGGTATATGTACTCAGGTGAATATCATCTTTGTGATGTTACTCTGAGTGTATATCCACACCGGACAAGCTTGAAAAACATGCTTGAGCTCCGAAAAATATGACTCAGTTCCGAAATATCACATACTCGAACCGACCGGACCGTGTAGCTCAGTTGACAGAGCATTGGGCTAGTCTTCCAAAGGTCGTAGGTTCGATTCCCACCACGGCCAGGCATATTTTTCAAGCTTGCCCGGTGTGGATATACACTCAGAGTAACATCACAAACATCATATATTAAGGTTGTTTAGTCAACGCATATTTCTTCCTCCAGGGTGTGACATTCAAAGACTACGTGGATTTCTTCAGTTTTCTAAGAAACATCGGCGATGTTGATACAGCTCTTAGTTTTCATACAGCCTGCGGTAGTGATCTCAATCCAGGTAACCTTGAACGGTCAGTGTAGATGGTGACAGTAAATAAAAAAGCTTCGGATTGTTAGGGATTCAACTGCCTGAAAAATACAAGGACCATCGCTCGAAATGTCGAAGTTCTCCTTGTATTTTTCAGGTAGTTGTATCCCAGAGGAGGTTATTTCGCTGGCCTCAGAGTGACAAAACGTAACAAAGCAACGGTTTTACTAACACTAGCGCTAGTGCAGCTATGCCAAACACAAACTGGGTCCAACTCTAACCATAATCCTAACCCTACTCCAAGTTTGTTCCTAAACCAATCTTGGAGAAAAAAGTTTTAACGAAATGTCATTCTGAGTATAAAGTTCAGTTGATGCCAAAAGTTATTTCACTTTGTTTTCGATGATTGAATAGCTTGTCATTTCAACGAAATAACTTCTTCCTTACATCCCTAACAATCCCAAGCTTTCACTCAGTTTACGGTCATTGTATTCGTGTCCGTAGTTGGAAAAATGACGAGATTGAGGCCGTAATTTTCCTAACGTGCATGGCTGTGCATTTCTTTTAGAAACATTCAAACGTGTTGCGCACCTCGTATCGGGAGTGAGGCTACAAGATCATATTGTCGATGTTGTTTTCAAAATGTTTGATGAAAATGGTGAGCTATATATAACAACGAACCAGTGATGGTACTATGGCAATCAGAGATGGCCCTTTCTGGACAGAACAGTTTAGAACTGATAGAGCTATCCAGTATAAATAAAGTTACTTTAGGTTTCCCCATGTAGTAACACTGGATCAATAAGAGATGATCCTTACTGGACCTCTAGGGAGAACAGTTTAGAACTGATAGAACTATCCAGTATAAATAAAGTTAGTTTAGTTTAGGTTTCCTCCTGTAGGAACAGTTTAGAACTGATAGAGCTATCCAGTATAAATAAAGTTAGTTTAGTTTAGGTTTCCTCCTGTAGTAACACTGTATCAATAAGAGATAATCCTTACTGGACCTCTAGGAAGAACAGTGTAGAACTGATAGAGCTATTCAGTGTAAAAGAAAGTTACTCTAGTAAGTGGTATAAATGACTACAAAATTATTGCCTTTGTTGTAGATGATGGTGAATTAAGTTCAAAAGAATTTGTCAGCGTTATGAAAACAAATTTAATGCGGGGCCTGGATAAGGTATGTTCAGTGAAGGTGCTCTACATCAACTATAATGTGGACTTATTTTAATCCCGACCCTCGATTAAAATAAGTCCACATGAATAGTTTGTTGTGCATGTTGTTAGTATTTGTAATTCTTATTTTCTAGCCCAAGGACACAGGTTTCACGAAACTTATCGCTGCAATATCAAAATGTGCTAGACAAAGTGTGAAGGAACAGCTGTTTCAGAAATGAATAGTTAAGTATGACGTTGTAATGTGTATATAAAAATAAAATATTGTTTTGTGATGCTTGTGGTAAAAGGCTCAGCAAAATTATATACAATGACACTGTTGGACACAGGGTCCCAGCCAGGTTTACCAATCTACCCGTCCAAAAATGTTTCCCTTGGAATAAATTTGAAATCAGATCTTTATCTTCTAAAAACGTGATTTTTAGCAGTCAAAAGAACACGTGTAAATTTGCACTCAAAACTGAAGACTTAATGGTTGCCCTAGCTCGCGAACATAATCGCACATAATTAAAATCGACGGGTGGACGGGCCTCTGGCTAAGCCCATGGTTGGACATATACAAACGCCAGCTTGACAAAGGATAGTCAGTTTTTTTTTCGGGTGTAGCAGTTAATAGGGTTCGATCATAATTTCATCCAAGTGACATGTGAGAAGAATGCTGGCAAGCTTACTCGCCTGGTTTCCCTCATGTTGTAAAGTCTACGACGGAAGAGCCCTCTAGGGAGAACAGTTCAGAACTGATACAGCTACCCAGTTGTTTTGTATTTCATTAAAAATAGTTGGTGCCTGGTGGTTCTGGACTTCTGGTAATATCCAATATGTCTTAGTTTCTCGGAGAAAAAAAGCTCGCACAAAAAAGACAGTAGTGTCATCAAATATTTTAATAAAATACAAATACATTTTAAATTGAATGTCACAGCGTAAATATTGTTCATTCACATCACAGTATTGTACCGCTATACCGCCATGATAGCAACTCGATCGTCCTTTTCAGCAGAGGGAGGAGTGGGTGGGACTCTAGATGTCCATTAACTAAGGGTATTGTTGCAGGGAGGTGGGACTCAAGATGTGGCACCAGGTTGAGTTGGAGGGTTAAGTCCTTGCTCTTTCCCTCCGGTACCCATACGATGTGGATCCTGAGAGGGGTAATGAATAGTAGGGGGTGCTCCTCTGTTTGGTGGTGGGCCACGAGGCATATTAGGAGGGGGCATATTGGGAGGGGGTAGGTTAGGAGGAGGGATGTTGTTTGGGGGTGGACCTCTCATGAATGGTGGTGGTGGCATGAATCTATGAGGGGGTGGTGGGTAAGGCCCTCGTCCACCAGGGGGGTAGGGTCCTCGTTGTCCAGGGGGAGGTGGTAATCTTGGAGGCATGAGGGGAGGCTGGCCATGCATGGGAGGTGCACCCATTAGAGGTTGTGGAGGTGGCATGGGGAGAGGGGGTAAGGGTATCCCGGAGGTCGAAGCTAGATTAAAGAAGTTGTTTTCCTCTGGTTTGGATGCTGGTGGTGGTGGTAATGCTACAAGAGAAAAGTATGGTTACACCATTCTGCTGGTATGGGTGAATGGGTGAAGTTCAATTGTTACCCACCTTCAGGTAAGCCAGGAACAGGGGTCAGCTTCGCCCCACCTTCCCTGCCCGGTGTAGCTTTTGCCCCTTGCGACTTTCCCCACAAGATTTTCAATCTGCGGCCTTTCATGATCAATTTATTGAAGGAGTTTTCTGCCGCTGTTTCAGCCGAGAAGCGGTTTGTGAAACACACAAATGCACATTGTTGTTTCGGCACCATCGTGATGGAACGGATCTCACCAAACTGATAGAAATGGTCTCTACAGCGACAAGATATACACATGAATGAATGTTTTAGCCAGGTTTATAAAACAATATAGCAGGACTAAACTTAATTCTAAACTAAATGAAACTGGCAGTATTTATACATAGCTGTTCTTCCTAGAGGTCCAGGGCAGGAAAAAGGAATTTTCTTCCTGCAAGCAGAACCTGGAGACAAAAATTTCCTGCAGACCAACGGAGTATTTTTGTGCTAAATCTGCATGTGCATAAACATATAATGTTCCAGCTGACCATGGTTTTAAATTCAAGGAATAACATCTGTCAACCATATGTTGTAGCCATAGTGGGACATTGGTGTTAAGGTTTCCTTCAAATTTTCAATAGGAAATCTTCATTCAAACAAATTTCCTGCAGCTGTTTAACCCATTGAGTAGCAGCACTCTCCACTTGACGAGTAAAATTGTGTGGCGTTAGACCAAGTCAAATACTAAAGTAGGGCGCATTGCCACTTAAAGTGTTAGCATTTCCTGTGAGTAGTGCTCGCCTATTTTTTCCACCCCTGGGGCTTTACCTCAGATCCTGTTCCAGAACTCTACCATCCAGGCCACCAACGTAAAGTGTTGTGATAGCTTTGTCAGGAGGGGGCTCTAAACTGGGCAATTTTGATGCTCTGTCTAGCAGTTTGCTTGCCACTGGGTCATTGACACCATAGAATCGATCCTTGATGTTCTGGTCGGCCAGCGGGTCATTGGGATCTGTTGGCATTTCATGTCTAGGAAATAGTGTTTATGTTTAGGTGGTGATGATGATGACAGTAATGATGATGGTGATGATGATGGTGGTGGTGATGGTAATCGGGCCAAAAAAAATAATATGTGGGTTTCCGGTTTCCCGACCCTACCTAGCTTTTGGACGTCGAAATCCCGACCCTAGACTTTTTTATTGGATCATGCTTGTAAGTGTTTCCACTTAGAGGAAAAAGTTTGCAGAAAATTAAAATTTGAGGCAATATTAGGGAAATTTATCTTTGGATGTGGAAGCACTGACTAAACAAAATGGTGTCCGCTTGTTCGGAAAATTAAAAAAAAAGTTTAAAAAAAAAGTTGAAACCGACCTACCATACCTAAGTTTTTATAAGAAGGAACCGGAAACCCACATATTTTTTTTGGCCTGGTGATGATCATGGTGTTAGTGATATTGATGGTGGTAAATGGTAATCATGATGGTGATTATGATGGTCCTCATCAGACACAGTACAAACCTATAAGGGCATTCCTCGCCTCGTTTGCACTCTCCTTTCACCCAGAAGGAGCAAATGTGTGGTCTATTCCTCTTGTAGTATGGTGCAGTTCTCGCCAGTTTTAATAACAAGTCATTGGGTGTGTTTGCCTTTCCCAAAGATCCCCCTGGGTTACTAGAGTCTGTGTTGGCCAACTGTTGAAAGAAAATAATAAAAATAACAATACATAAAGCAGTTATTTCCTTGTTCTTCACATAGTATGATTGAACTTCTCTCTGACATGGACATCGCTAGGACATGACTCACTTCTCTTTCGGCATTCTGTGTGTAATACTCTTTGTTTACATCAGATTTTGGCATCTCGTCTTTCAGACCAAGAGCGTGGTCTCGTACTTGAACTGGCAACCCTGTACAAAATGCAAACAATTTAACTGATTTTAATTTGTTCACCTATGAATGAGACAAACAGATCATGATCGACGAAGACTGAATATCTTTGTTTGTCGTTTAGTAAGGGGTCACGTCCATATTCATGTTGCCACAAATAACGTCGAATCGATGTTATGAGTGGGTGGGTTTTTATGTGAACTTATCGACGTTTTCTCGTGGAAATTTGACAATTAATGTCCAAAGTAACTATCACAGTACAGATTTTGTATCATAATACGAAAGTCAAAATACGACAACTGAATATAGATCGACATTATCTTGGGTGGGTGAAGCAATAACGTCGATTTGACGTTATTTGTGGCCAACATGAATATGAACATGGCCCATAACTTGTACCAAGTCTGTTGAGCTGAACAACCTTGTAGCAAGTTGTCAACAAGCTGGGAACACTTTACCATATTCAAGATCCAACAAACATGTCTGACAAATGTTTTTCATTTTGGCGCACGTCTGACAAACTTCAGTTTTTTTAAACCTCATTCTAGCACCAGGACACCAACGAAAGATTGTGAACGGCCGAGCACAAATCTGAAAATCAAATACTAGTAATTCAGTTTCTCGACACCTGGACTTGAACCAATCATATTTATAAAACAGAGTAATTAATGAATATACAGTTAAACTGGTAGTTTTTCAGTAATAGGTTTACCTTACACTCCCTTCCATATTTTTCTTTCATCTATAAGAAAATAATAACAATACCTGTAAATTTTGTCCAAAACGCCCCTTTCATATTGAATATAGATTTTCATAATTTGATATAAAAGATCTGATCATGAAACTGTCGATTTCAACCTACCATTCTTAGATACGGATTATCACCCAAGCATGTCTGACACAAGATAGGAAATTCCTAAAATATAGAAGAATTCAACCTACTATGTCTCAAACGTCTGTTTATACTTTGATGGTGTATTTTAATATTAGCCTATATTATGCCTAGTTTCAAAATGCATTTATTCCTTATCATTTTAACCGATTTCCACAAAACGTAGCCAAGGTACAGATCAAGCATTCTATTATCCTTAAAGTTACATATTACCGCAGTTTTCCCCTCGGAAAACTCACCGCGTCCTCCCAATTCTGCCTGTTGTATGTATTCGCCGTTTTAGAAGTCGCCATCTTGAAATCTTACACGACGTGCATCGCTTTGCATTGTGGGACAACTTTATTGTTCGTCTCCAGGCCGCGTAAAGATTCGCGCGTAAATTACGCCGTGACGTCATCCAAAAATGTCATACATAACCCGCGAACAGGCATACTTTGGGAACTATGTCTGGGAACGAGATTGAAACAATAGGGTAATTGCTAGATAGTATACTTCAAAATAAGATTTCCGTTTTTATAACGTAGAAAAAACCATGCTAACGCAAAATTAAACCCTAACCCTAATACTAACCTTAACCCTAACCCCAACCCCAACCTAACCCCAACCCTAACCTAACCCTAACTTATTTAAAAAATTGATATAAAAACGGAAACCTTATTTTGAAGTATACTATCTAGCAATTTCCGAAACAATAGGGCCATTTATACGTGACAAAATAAGTCGCGACTTACATAAGACGCGACTTAAATAAGTGGAGTTATCGCATAAATGTTTCTCTACGGCTTTGGTCTTATTTATTTGCTATATCTATAATGTTGTTTTGGTTGTTTTTGTTTTAATATGCAAGGCATTAAATTTTACGTTGTTTCAAGTTTCTGGCATGTGTAGTTAGACTTTTTGTCCAAAATTTCTTATTTAAGACGCGACTTAAATAAGAACAGCTAAAAGACCAGGGGCCGGTTGTATAAAATTCTTAATCACTTTTTTAATCACTATTTTGTAGTTAAATAGTGATTAACTCTCAAATACGCGCTTCTTATTGGATGACGTTTGCACTTAATTATAGTTAACTTTAATCACTTTTTTATACAAGAATTAAGAATTTTGATTACATAAGAATTTTGTACCTTTTATACGACAAAGTCGCGTCTTACCTAAGTCGCGTCTTATGTAAGTCGCGTCTTATTTTGTTCCGTATAAATGGCCCTAATGTCTATTTGTTTGCATGAAATCAGGAGGTCTAATCAGACCTAATCAGGAAGAGTTATTTCGCTGGCCTCAGTATGACATTTCGTCAAAACTCTTTTCTTCAAGATTGCTTTCGAAACAAATTTGGAGTAGGGTTAGGTTAGGGTTAGAGTTGGTGTTTGGAGTAAAACCGTTGCTTTGTTACGATTTGTCACATCTGAGGTCAGCGAAATAGTTGATGCCGTCTAATCAGTGGGTCTAATATCGTCTATCCTGTGTGGCAGGCGGTGCTAATATCGTCCGGAAATGGTCCCCGGAAAATGTTGTGGGATCCAGGACCCCCTCCCCCCATTCCCGGCCCCCGTGGCTATGCCTATGAATGCCATGGAATAGATTGTATCGCTTCTTTTACTGTAAACGCAATGTATATTATATTTTGGATGTAATGCAACTTTTGCCATTCTTGCGAAAGACATGCTCAACCCTATGGAAACCTGATTAATTAACAGCTTTTAAATGTTTATTTAACAACCTGAAAAACTGGTATTTTAATCGCTAACAGTAACATTCTAGAAACCCCGACATGGAAAATTTTCAAACAATACTTCTGATCGATAACAACGCAGATTATCCCACGTTGCCACGTGGAGTATTTTACTAAAACCTCTAAAATTCGCACGTGCGATGATTCCGATGAAACGTAAAAAATTACAATTGTGCCGGTTCGGACGATTTCGCAATAGTCATGTTGTAAAAACTGGTTAGTCAAGTGTATCAGCATGTTGACAGAAAGTGCCAGACGCGCCATCAAGATTTTCGTTTAGTATCCGAAATAGCGTATTGTTCGTGTGTGTATTTATGCAAATTTAGCGCAAACAAACAGACAATAGATTATAGCCGTGCAAATTGCATATATACTCCTTATAATTTCCAATATAGGGACGTTCAAATACCCTATTAAACGGTATAACAAATGGATACATTAAACTTTATTCTGTGCATTAAATTGCTAGCAAATGCGCTGAAATGGCGGTTAATTAAAATTTAGGAAAAATTTCTCAAAGCTGCGTGAATATTTTACCAATTCTTTCAGTGCAGCATGTGACCGGATGTGCGGAGTTACTCTTAGCCAATCAGCGTCGCTCGAGTCTCGAGCACGTGGGTGTGATCAGAAGTCAAAGTTCGAAATATTAACCTATTATATATGGAATTCAGGTTTACACCGAAACGGTATAACTTGATTTCTCGCTTTTCCGTCGCATTTCTGCAGGAGAAAAGGAGGGTTTAGGTCTTCGGGAAGCCGCATCTTCAACGACTTGTTTGCAAGAAGCTTTGTAGTCGAAAATGAACGCCGATTCAAGTAATACAACAACCTTTTTATTTACCTCCGAATCCGTCGGCGAAGGTCACCCAGGTTAGTTCATATAAACTTCATGCTCTATGTACCATTTAAAATGTTCTAAAATTTTACCATCCGCTCTGCAGAACATAATGTTTTCGTTGATTAAAATTTGCAGCTTAACATGTGAAGGTCGAACGATCTGCTGGCAAGTGCTCTCAAATTTGTATATATATACACTATATATATTGGCATATTGCCTATTCTTATAAGTTTCATCAACAAAACTTATTAATACGTTTGTAAATGGTGATTAGGCCACGTTGTAGCATGGTACGGCCTGTTAAATGTATTTTAGGTAAACGTAATGTGTTTTACTGGACATTTTTTAGATAAAATTTGCGATCAGGTCTCAGATGCTGTCCTAGACGCTCATTTATCGCAAGATCCCAACGCCAAGGTCGCTTGTGGTATGTTTTAGTCACGATTTTAGTAGATTGCACAATATTTGGGTTGGGTAAAAAATAACCAGATCATATTACAAAGCTATTTGCATTGTGATATAATTTATGCAGTTTTGAGGGTATTAATAAAATACACCAATGTTGATACATATAACCTCATTCTGCAGCAGGCCTCGAATTTCCTGAACCAGAGCCTTCACAACGTTTCAATTTATTATTTACTGAAGGCTCTGGAATCCAGGGTACGAATTTCCCCGAAATCAATCGACAACATTGGAGTTAAAAATTGCCATAGAACGTAACAGCTGTCTACGGCATTTTTGGCAGTTTCCACGGCATTTTTTCAAATTAATAAAAATTTAAGTTTATTGTTACTTTGCATGGATTGTAGACAAGAAAGCTGAGACTAAAATAGTGATTTACGCATGATTTGATCAACATCTGAATTCAAATATCAAAATAGTAATGCACAGTGAATAGTATAAAAATTACACTATACAGCAAAAATTGCTGTCGTTGCCGCAATAATCCACGGCATTTTGTTCTCCTTCTACGGCAATTGCCGCGATAAAATTCGAGCCCTGTTCTGCAGTGATATTTATATAAGCATGATATTTTAAATATTTTGTGTGATTTAATGTATAAATATTTAAATATATGACAGGAAATTCATGTCTATTGCCGGGTTCAATATAGAAGCAATTATAATTTATGCATTACTTGAAAGTAACTTGATGGGGAGAGGAGAAAATTTTGTCTCTGATAATAATAAGTGTATTGGGAAATCTGAACGGAATGTGGGGAGCGGTGGAGGGGTTAACTTCCAATTTCCTCCATGGGGGTGGTATGGATGTTTTCTGGAATGACCTGTTCTCATGTTGTGGTTTTAAATTAAGAATGTGCTGCAAAAACTGGCATGGTCATGGTATTTGGTGAGATCACATCAAAGGCCAGTGTGGACTATCAGAAAGTTGTTCGTGATACCATCAAGCGTATTGGTTATGACGACAGCAATAAAGGTGGGGATAGACAGAGTAAATGCTCGTTTGCACTTACAATTTTTGCTGCAATTTTAGGTGATGCGATTTTCCTCTGATGGATGTGAACGAGTGGATAAGTTATGAATGTTCAGATTAGTGATGGACGATACCGCCAGTATCAGATTCGATACGATACCGATTACTTTTTCGTAAAAATATCGAGGTATCGATTACCCAAACGATTACTATTTATTTTACAGATTTTGCCATTTAACACAAACTATTACACAAAATTAGTTAACACAAACTATTACACACAATTGGTTACATGGCTGGAATTACCACACAGAGATTAGTTCTCCAATAACGGGGTTCCAAGACATTCGAAATACACAGTATGAACAATAACAGGCTTGCAGACAGACAGACGGACAGGCAGGCAGACAGACAGACAGACAGACAGACGTGAAGATCAACAAACAAGCACAACGAATTACACTAATCAACGACTTACAATTTATGTGACAATAAATTAACAACATGCTCGATTCGACAAGTTAGTTAATGGGCGAGTTGAATGACACTTCACACAAACAGACTTAAATGTTCTCGGATCCTCGGGATTATAAATTTCCCTGGTGAGATCCTTATAATGTCGCATTAAACAAAATTTGATTACTACGACGACGATTGTATTTCAGAATTTTCCGCTATTATAATCCATGAGAAAACAAAAATTAAATTATTTGCCGCCTTTTTCATAATTTATTCTGTCGACGAGGTTAGGAATATTAATCAGGGAAGTGGATAGAGTGTCAAATAAAGTAAAGGAAGTTTGGTTAAGTTGATAAATGTGGTAAAATACAAGAAAGTACATATATTTTATTAGAAATAGCCATGAAAACGATGACACAACTACAGAATTATAATGAATGTCTAATTTTAAAAGTAATCGAAACACTTTTTCGATACCGTGCAGTATCAACTACTTCCGATTTGGGCCTGGTATCGGGTGGTATCGATACCAAGTAGTCGGTAATCGCCCATCACTAGTTCAGATGAGGGTAACACCATAACATGTACTCCGAACATTTGTAACTCATCTACTCGTTCACATGCATCAGAAGGAAAAAATCACACTAGAAATTATGAATGGTCGACACTTATTTGAAACATTGAAGCTTATATACTTGTATTTCTCAAGTGGTTGAATCCCTCTCATCCATAGCTTAATTCTCTATAATTAGGGTATATTAAATGGCTGACAGTAAAAGCCCCCTCAATCTTCTCAGAATTCCTTTTAGTATGAGGGTTCCAAATGCAACTAACATATCCAGGTTAGGACGGACTAGGCTGAGATAGGCTCTAGCACTTTAGCTGTAGGAGAGCAGCTTCCTAAGATACATTTAAACAAGCTAAGGCTGGAATTAGCTTTTTTACATTAATATTGTCACAGTGTAATGCCTTGAAATCTTTGCATTGTCCTTGACCATTCAAAATATCTGCAGGGCACATTGCACCTTAAATCGATATTAAGCTACAATGAACCATTTGCTGTTATTTTAAATGACATCAGAGGACTTGGATATAACATTGAACCATGATGAGTCCTCCTTTGTCATTTTGCTCATTTTACATACTCTGTCTAACACCACACAATTTTACTTGTCAAGGGGAGAGCGCTGGCACTCAATGGGTTAATGCACAAGCTTCTTTCTTAATTGATTTTTAGGATTTGATTATAAAACTTGCAACGTGTTAGTCGCTGTTGAACAACAAAGTCCGGAAATCGCTGCAGGAGTGCACATCGGACGAAAGGATGAGGAAATTGGAGCAGGTGATCAAGGCCTGATGTTTGGCTATGCAACTGACGAGACGGACGAACTCATGCCCCTGACTGTTGTTCTGTCACACAAGCTGAATCAAAAGATGGCAGACAGTTGGCGTGATGGATCGATTGCGTGGCTTCGACCCGACACAAAGACGCAAGTGACAGTAGAGTACAAGCAAGAAGGAGGCGTGCTTGTGCCGCAACGTGTTCATACTGTGGTTGTCTCCGCACAGCATGCTGAGGAGGTCACAACAGAAGAGTTAAGGAAAGTTATCATGGAGAAAGTAGTTAAGGTTTGTGGAGTGATTTAGTGTTTTTTCTTGTTGTGTGGTTTGGCCTTAAAACTCTTGGTTGCAGAAGCTTGACAAGCGTCAAAACTAACATGACTTTTTCGCTTGATTTTTTCACTCTGATAATTGCAGGTTGACCACCATCTACTGCATGAGAGTGCTTAAATTAATTAAGCCAAGTTTCCATATGGTCATAACGATAGTAAAGATAGAGTCACAATCTTTCTCAACAGCCAAAATACAACCGGAAATAGGCATCCGGAATATAACTGGAAATACAACCGGGAATAGGCAACCAGAAATTTTTAAAAAACTGTTTATATCTGACTGTTGAGAAAGATTGTGACTCTATCTTTACAACCGTTAACAACCATATTGGCTTCAGTGAAACCTACCTATAAGCCACCATAAGTAAAAATTCTTGACGTGTCCTCATTACAGGAAGTGATCCCAGCCAAGTACTTGGATAATAAAACAATCTACCATATCCAACCATCTGGAAGATTTGTGGTCGGAGGTCCGCAAGGTGATGCCGGTCTCACTGGGCGCAAGATCATTGTGGATACATACGGCGGGTGGGGAGCACATGGTGGCGGTGCTTTCTCTGGAAAAGATTCGTCAAAGGTATTGTATATTGATTGTCATGTCAACTGTTGATGGAAGTGAAATTGAGCGTCTAAAGCCCAGAAAAGCAGAATTGCCTCCATAATAATTGCCACCACGATAGAGAGTTTTCAATCTGCCAGTGTTCCTCTATGCAGGGACGTCACTACTGAGGGGGGGGGGGGGGGGGGGGGGGTGTAACACCCAATAATTCAAATGTTGGTCAAAATGGAGCTGGTATTTGCTCAAAGTTGGTCAAAATGGAACTGATATTTGCTTAAAATTTTGAAATATGGCTATATTAGTCCAGGAAAAGTTTTAACCCCTCCCCCATCGACAACATTTCCGGAAAAAATTTTTACGACTTGGTCAAAATTCTATTAAATGTTGGTCAAAACATGACGACACCCCCCCCCCCCCCCCCCCCCCC